TGATCGTCAGATTGCCATAAACGGAACTTGTTATGAACGCTCTCCAGTTGGTTCATCCTGTCTACTTGATGGGCAGTGTCTGGGGAATTCGTTTTGTTTGAACGGAACCTGCCAGTGTTCTCGTGGAACAGTCGTTCATGATGACATTTGTGTTGAAATAGGCAGTTTGTCTTGCAAAGCTGATGAAGTATACTTTAATGGAAGCTGCCATTTACGCGTATGTTTAGGATCATCAATCAAAATGAAGTTTTTAGCACTTTGTGAGCGTAAACGTATAAAGCATACATTTACTGATTTTTACGCTAAAGCTAGTTTTGATGGAAAGTCCTTCTTCTTGAAGGGTCTTGTGTTACGTTTCATCAAAAAGCAAGTGACATTTTAAATTCAGGTAAGAATCGGAGAGCGGTGCAGTTTTGATGAACAGTGTTTGGGGAATTCAAGCTGTGTGATGAATGTTTGCACGTGTGCTGCAGGAATGGCCGAAGTAAACGGATCTTGCGAACAGGCGGTTTCGGCTTTGCCAATTATTCGTGAGCATTACCAAAGCAACTATAATGATTCTCGTCTCGGCAGAGCATCTATTGGCATGACCTGCACTGATCACCTGCAATGTATTGGTACGAGTAAAATTGTTTTTTTTATAGTTCAAGTGGCTTAAAAAACAGGTTATGCTTAATTCCCAACTTTAGTGGTCTGAACGTTTCATAGTGATTTTGGTTGAACCATATATATATTTTAGAGCGCTCAAAGTGCATAGAAACAAGTAGTAACGCTACAAAAAAAACTTGTCAGTGTCAGCCTGGATCGGTTTACAATGGGTTTTCATGTATTGAAATGGATAAAATGTCGTGCCCAGCAAATACGGTCTTTATAAATGGAACAATATGCTTGCCGCTAATTCCTCTAGGTCAGGCTTGCGTAGAAAACGTACAGTGCATGGGTTTTGCAGACTGCATTGGTTTGTGGTGTCAGTGCCCAGATGGGTACCGGAGCATCCGTGGAGTTTGCAGAGAAAAGTGATCAAGTGATGGCTATGATGCAAACTGTTTTGAACTGGTTTTTTGTTTCCTTCGCGTTTCTCATTAATATGAATCCTCAAATTTTAGCTTTTTCTCATTCTGACCACTCTATTTATCAGATTCTAAAGCTCATTTTTTATAATCAGCTTTATTTTGCTTATTTGAAATTTTTCATGTCGTTTTTTTTGTTCCGAAACTGTGATATTATTTATTTGAGTATCTAGTACAGCTGATTGAGATAAGTTTATAGCAACGTTTAAATATTTTTTAAATTTGCTAAAGAAGATTTCTAAACAACGCTTATGTGAAAGTGACTTTGTTGGATTGGTGGCTGTAGACAAAGGTCTAACACTGTCAACGCTAAGAGCTACGGACCAGGGTTTTGAAAAATTTAAAAATGTTGATTCTATTTATGGTAAAAAATCTCGCTAAATTAAATAAGATTTGGCTATGTTGAAAACTGATTACCAAACAATTCTTAATTGCTTTACTTAGACCTTTTTCACTTTCACTGCAGTAATTTGAGATTCCTGTACTATGTTGTATTTCTCGCTTTCTTTTAAATATAGGTCACTTTTGTTGTTAGTCTTGAACAATAATGAAAGTGTGATAGGTTAATGGGTCTAATGAATCAATGCTCAAAGAAAAAGTACCTGAAAAAGAGATGTATATAATTACTTAAATATTTGTTACTGTTCAAAGTTATAAACTTTACGCGTAACTTAGACAGTGTACAATAACTTGCAGAGTCGTTGTTGATATTGTTGTTTCTCATGCTATTTAATTTCATTTATGCTGTAGTAAAACAATGAATTATAGAAAATTAAAAGGTGAAAGTCACACAGATGCAAGATCGGTAGTACTGTTGCGACCGCCACTGTAAGTGAGCAGATCTCCATCGGAACTACGGGAGCTTTAACGAGGAAGAGTATTCTTGAAAAATGATGCTGACTGTTGTTTTTTAAATTTCAGATTCCTGGAAAAAAGTGACAGCAGAAACAAGTACATTTTTTACAGTAAGCACTTCAGATTTGCATTAGTAGTACTTTAAATTAGTAGTATTTTGTAACTTGCAATTTATTGCTCTTTCAACAAATTCAAAATTTGGCTATTATCTGAAGTACTGTTACACACCGTAATATACACAAACGGAGTTTTAGTGCAAAAGTTTTGACAGTAGTTTTAGCATCTTCCTCTCAAAATTTACCGCAGCATCAGGACCATTTTAAAAAACTTTTGTGCAGTCGTAATGCTGCTGTAATATTAAATAAACTAAAAAAAGTATGCAGTGGTAAAGTTTGACAACAATTCTGGCTTTATGATGAAAAAGTTCAACAGTAGAATCTGCAAGTAATTATCACTATTGAATGTACAAAAAATGTGAGCAATAGTATTTATTGAATTATTGCTTTTGCTAACATGTAACTTACTCATACGTTAATAAGTCGTAGATATATCATATGCTGCCTGATCAAACATTGATATGCTTAGTCTAAACTGGTTATTTACTATTTATAAACGTTTTAAAGTACATTTATCTAACATGACTTTAATATGATTGAACTTTTTTAGGTTTTTATAGCAACTACAGCTTTTATTTACCTAAACGTTACAACAGCCAACTGTAATAGATTTTTTAGCCGGAAGAAAGATAACAGAATTACTGTTGTAAATGCATTTTTTGAAATATTGCTATGAAATGCTATCTTAGCATTTCTCTACAAGAAGCTGGCATTCAAAAATCTGTATCTGTAGGTATCTTTTTAACAGTTGCTGAACTCTGAAATATCTGCCTATAGCTACTGAAGGGCAGCAGTTGATTTCTAACTTATAGATTGGTTTTTAGCCTTATTAGTCATATTCGCGTGACATTAGCGCTGCATAATTTTTTAAATAATGCTTTCCAAGGTTTTTGAAACTAGGCATTCAGAAAAAAATTGAATGGTGAAAAGTTCTACGGAAATGGCTTCAACGGCAGCATTAATCTAAAGCTGAGTAAACATAGTTTCAGAAGAATTAAAAAGTTTTTTTTTAATGCTTATCGTGAGTGAAATAGGTAAACGGAAATGTTGATTTAGTGCAGTTAGCAGGAAAATTTCAATTCACCAACAGAGACAACCTCTATAAAACCTAAAAACCTTTTACATTTGACTTTCTATAATTGTGGTATTGTAGATTATGCTATTCATTACTTTTGCAATTATTGCGCTACTACCGTATATCCAAGGTGGGTTAGGTTAACTGATTTATTTATTTATTTTTTTGCAGCAATTTATCATTTTTTTGCAGCCTGTAGATAGTTCTACCTTTCTCAGAGTATTAAAACGAAACGGTGTTTTAGCAGTTCACTTTTGCTGACTTTTTAAATGACAAAAGATTTAGTAAAGGTTATATAATACTTGATGTGGTACAACTTCTACGGCTTTTTTAGACTTTGCTAAAATCAATATTATTGTAAACCCTTTGCCTTACTAATTTTAATTTTTAGTGCTTAGTTTAACCTCTAATAAACTAAACCGTTGATGAGGCTTTAGAGATAAGTTTAATTTTTTGAAAACGAACAGATTTGTTAATGTCAATAGAATATTGTTACATTTTAAAAAGCAGTTAGCAGCTTGCTTCTAACCGTCTTTTTGAGAGCAACTTATGCTCTAAACATTAGCTATTACCCTAATTTAAGCTGTTATAGAAGGTACACAATGAGGCTATAAGAAAGGTACAATAGGTATAACTGCCTTCATTTAAGATAACAATTCAGAGTTGTTGTTGGTGTTGTTGTTGCCAACTGATTTTGAGGATGACAAAATAGTATCTGGAAATTTAAAGTTACATAAATTTTTTTAGTTATTCAGAACAATGAAATTAAAGTTACGGTTGATAGTGATTCCACCGTAAAATTTGCAGGAAAAAGTCTGTAATGTTGTGCAGACGACAGTAAAGCATTCTAAATGAACTTGATCTTCTGCATTACCGTAATGTGTGCTAAAAATGAGCTCTTTGCCAAGCAAATAAAACTTTTCCTCAAATTTTTTACTATGTTATCGTTGTCACCGAAAGAAGAACTTTGTCTGTTATAAATATCGGTTTTTAAATTGAGATATGCGTTTTTTTTTTTGCAATTAAGTAGTCATATTTATTGTAAAATCATTTATATTTTAAGTAAAAAGCCGCCATACTGTATACAAATAACAGATTTTTGTAGGTAATTAATCTTTACAAGCAAATAAGAAAAGTTGAAATACAAATAATTGGTTTTGAAAAAAGATGTTTTTTTATAATTGCAAAACTGTTCTGACAGAGAGAGTACTACAAATACAATTTTTGATAATCTCAAATAGTTAATTTTTGCTTGTAGCACTCGGTAATACTTGTATAAATTCCTCGGATTGTCGCGGAGGTGAACAGTGCATATCTTCTACTTGTCAATGTAATTCAAATCAGCTTTCTTACAATGGACGCTGTATAACTAACAACAATATCTGCACAGGCGGGCAACAGGTCAATTATAAAATAGTTGTTCACAGTTTTTAGTTGTCATTTAATTATATAACAACTAAAGATTTTGTCATAACAATAAAAAAAAAATCAAACAATGGTACAATAGTGCCAATTTAAATTTTGGTTATAGATTTACTTTAACGGTCAATGTTTGTATACATCACAAATTAATCAACAATGCGTAACAAGCAGTCAATGCCTCGGTGGATCTTTCTGTTATAATCAAATATGCACTTGTCCAACAGGTTAAAAATTTTTATTGTTTTTTTAGCAGCGGAAAAGTAGTATCTATTGAATATTATTCAGTTTTATTGAATATAATTTGACGCATATTACTAGTTAGCTTATCAAAAAAACTTTTATTCTACAGTCAATTTTAGGCACTGTTAACGTGAATAATGTATGTCAAGAACAAAACAGTTTTTGCAATTCTAATCAAATTTACTATCAAAATCAGTGCTACAACTTGGTCAGAATTGGTCAGCAGTGTATGGTACCGATTCAATGTCTTGGGGGTGCTGATTGTGTGAACGGTATGTGTCAGTGTCCTTCTGGCACATCCCTTATTGGTGAAACGTAAGCGTTAGGCTGAATTGATGAAAGGAGAATCTGCATTGCACTTATATCATAATTGTAAAAGTATTTTCTGCCTTATAAAAGAATGTAGCTTCAAAAAAATGCAGTAATTATGTGATAATCAAATATTTTCAATTGTATATACACAGTTTTTTGCCAATTTTAGTCAAAAATCGAAAGCTTACAGTATCTACAGGCATGAATTTTACTTACAATCTTTCAGTTGTCAACAGTCGTCATCTGTTGGTTGTCCCAACGAGCAAGTTATGGTGAATGGTGTATGCCGACAAAGAGTATCACCAGGACAAAACTGTGATGACACCCTACAATGTATGGATGCAGCCGAATGTTCATCCATTCGCGCATGCGTGTGTCCACTTGGCATGTTTCTTATAAACAACTTTTGCAGAAAACTTTCATCTGATGAACCATGTGATCAAACATCATCGGTTTGTTATAAAAATGTTACATAGAATACCTATAACAGCAAAAAGCACATATAGAGAGCTTTGAATTTTATTTTTATGAAGCCATACTTGACTTCTGCTTGCATTAGTAAAAAAAAGCCGAATACCGTTAAGCTTCAATAAAATTTCTACTTTTCATTGATTCGATCTTTGTCTCTAAAGGTTTAAGAAGTGTAGTTGTCTAAAATATGGTTGTTTCAGGTTTTTATAAATAACCAGTGTATGCCTGTACAAAGAGTGGGATCAAACTGTCAGCATTCTCTTCAATGTCTTGGCGGAACTGAATGTATTAATAACGTCTGTAATTGTCCAAGTGGCACTGTACTTGTCAATCAGTACTGTGTTAGCACTTCTACAAGTTGTTATTCTAACCAGGTAATAATTAGATTTTTTTATTTCCATGAGACATTAACTTCATTCAAATAAGTAATAAAAGTCTGCAAGAACTGAAGCACTAAACGGCGAAAGAGCAAAGCATTTAGATCCTTTACAACAGTCGTTGCTACAATTTGGTTTCTTTTGGTCAAGCATGTTATGTGAATGCGCAATGCCAGAACGGTGCCGAATGTGGTCCTTCAGCAGTCTGCTCATGCCCGTATGGCACGCAAGTAACTTTTCATCGACTATTTAACAACACGGTTTAAAATACCAAATTTCTTTTTTGAGATTAGTAATCCTTTTTTCTATGTACGAGGAAAAAAAGAGGATTTTAACGGAGACAACGTTGAAAAGAAGTCTAAATCTTACTGTTTAGCAAGTTAATGGTCGATGCACAACGTCAGATAGCAGTAATTCATGTCAGAGCAACCAAGTCGCTGTGAGACCTTTTTTTCTCTATTTTACAACTGCCCAAACTTAGTCTCATTTCTATATGTTTTGTGACAGTAAAATTTGAAAACTTTTTGTTGAGAAATATTTAATAATTTACTTACAAATTCAATAATGTATTTAAGTATTTAACCGATACAATTTAAAAATGATCTTAAATGAAAAAATCTATGAAATTCAATTACTAGTAGTTTAGTAGTTTGCTAAAATACTTCGTCTAGATTAATGGAGTTTGTTACGCACGTGTTGTTCCTAATGGAGCCTGCACCTATTCTGAACAATGTCTTGGGGGTGCAACGTGTACAAACGGTGTTTGCCAGTGTCCTGTCAACACTGTATTAGCAATGAAGTACAATTTTTTTCTCTCTTGAAAATTAGCTTTAACAAAATACATAATTGCGGAAGAAATACACTTATGGGTTTTTAAAAGTTTTAATTGAGGACACGCATAAATTTGATTTTTTCGTCGTTTTTTGTCTTTCGGACTTCTCAAAATTGTTCACTGCTTGTTAGGGTTACCTGTAAAATTTTCAGTTCTGAAACGAGTGTTTATGTTTAGTTTTGAAAGTATATCAGCAAAGGTTGTGTAACTGAAAGTAAAAGAGATCAGTAAGAAAACAAAATCTAACAAAATTTTTAAGTTTACGATGAAAAAAAGGTAGATGAATTCTGTGGTAGTGAATCAAATAAGGTGACACAAATGCGGCAGTGCACCGTTGCTGTATATCTGTCACTTCGATGGGTCTCTTATTTGATGTTTTTTTACTTAAATTACCCACGTGTTTCGTTATAAACAAGTGAACTAGAATTTTTGGTTAACCTTCACTAAATCTTTCTACATTCGTGTAATCCTTCCTCTTCTTCCCCTCTCTGCCTCTTATTGCCCTTATAATAATGATTGTTTTTACAAAAACAAAAATTTCATCTTATAGTTGATAAATGTACATGCCAAATGAAATGTTTTGTATCATTTCTAAAGCGTTATTATTATTTCCTGCTTTTTACTTTACAATTGCAAAAATTAGATAGGTTTTTTCTGATTAGTTTATGTTCTATTTCTTTAATTTATCGTGCTTTATACCAGTAATTTTTAAAAGTATTTGTGGGAAAGATGACAATGGAATTTCTTCTTGAAAGCGAGTAATTAGCGAAACCACTTGGAGAAATAAAGCTTTATATCTTTCATAAACTATAACTGTTAAATAAAAACGCTTTTATTTACAGCCAGTACTGCGTTTCTTCTTCTGCTTCATCTGGGTGCAGTCAGAACTTCGTCTATGTTAACGGTCGTTGTTTAGCAATGGGAGCACCAGGATCTCAGTGCGAAAATAATATACAGTGCCTTGGCGGTTCTACTTGCATGAACGGTAACTATGTGATTTGGCCATTTCTTTTGAATTCATCATTTTTGTTGGCGATTGAACGAACATGTAAAGTGGTGAAAAACGAGCGAGTATTTTTCGTATAAAATGACTTTTGAATGTAATTAGATGAATTATTTAAACAACTGCTTTGAAAACTTAAATTATCGTGAATGCTTAAAGGACAATGCGCTTGTCCAAGCGGCTACACATATGTTATGAATTACTGTGTGGTGTCTTCGTCTTCACCCAGCTCGAACTGTGCGTCGAATGAGGTAAATGAGTTGTTTTTTGAACTTTTTAATTAGTCATTATAAGTGGAAAAAACTAAGGTTAAATTTTTTTAGAGTTTTTGTTTTTCCATTTTGACAGTTGTTTTGAACAGTTTCTTTTTCTGCTTCTATTCACTGTCGCCTTCTTTTATTTTCTACATTAAAAGCTGTATTGCCTACAATCATAATGCCAAATGAAGCACTGGAATTAGTGCTGTAATAGAATAATTCTTTTTTACCATATGTTCTTTTGGATTATCCTGGCTTTAGGTTTATGTAAATGGTCAATGCTATACGAAACGTACGTTAAACGAGTACTGCACATACAATGAGCAGTGTCAGTATGGTACCACTTGCCAAAATAATCGCTGTTACTGTCCTTCTGGTTCTGTTTGGCAGGGAAACTCTTGTTCATCAAGCAGCGGTAACTGTGGAACAAATCAGGTGTACATCAATGGAAACTGTTATAATATGGCTTATATTGGACAGAGCTGTCAGTATTCTCAACAATGTCAAGGGGGTTCAGCGTGCACAAATTATTATTGTCAGTGTCCTCCTGGACTAGTAGCAAGCAATAATATGTGTGTGAACAATGGTGGTCAATATTGTCCATCTGGTCAAGTTTCAATTAATGGTCAATGCTACGCGCAGGTTATTATTTGTTAATGTTTTAATTTTTATTATAGCTCTCAAATTTGTTCTAATTTGTGAGGATAAGTTAAACACTTTTTTGCTAAATTGTTCCTCCTTTAGATGAAAAAAGATTAAAATTTTTTCAAATGCTTGATTTGAAGTATAGCTTTATGTTTCAGGTGCAAATTGGTCAGTTTTGTTACTACAACCAACAGTGCTTGGGTAATTCAAATTGTACTTCAAACAGATGTACTTGTCCCACTGGTACTATCTTGTCAAATAATATGTGCATGTCAAACTCAAATTGCCGGTCTTATCAGGTTTACGTTAACGGCCAATGTTTGGATACTGTAAGCATTGGAATGCAGTGTACAGATAACTCTCAATGTATCGGTAAGCTGAAGTCAACGTTTATTCCAAAATAAAAGCGCATCCTTATAGAAAGAAGCTTTTTAACAGTATTTCTATCTCGTTTGTGAACTAAATTTTAATATCTAATCAAATCTTCTATCCCTCTTCTCTAGTCTGAGAGAAGAAGATTAGAGGTGATCACAGAAGCGTGTTTCAAACTGAGTTTCCTTGGTGTGTCACTGTTACTTAGTTTAAAAGCTTCGTGGAAGCAAACAAATAATTGTTCCGCCAAAGAAGAGAAATTAGGAAACAATCTTGGGGTTTATAATATGGACCGCATTTATGCATGGTTAAGTGGTCATGCATGTTTAAATGGACAAGTGAGTTTAACAATGTAAGCAAAAGTAAGAGAAAAGTTTAAAAGAAAGAGACTAGAAATTTTATGAAATAATAAAATCAATGTTACAAAAAAGGAATTTTGAGAGCGAACAACTTGAATGAAACAACTATTTCTTTTGCCGTTTTGAGAAATGCTAAGAAAAGCAATAATTATGCAATTTGTAGGCTGATAAAAAAAAAAGCAGTGAACTTTTGTAGAGAAAAAAAAAACTTGGATTCACTTCAACTTAGGGGTTGTAGGAAATTTTTTTATAAGGTTGTTTTGTGTCTTAAACGTCTTATTGCTTTTTCGACCTTTATTAGAAAAAGAGAAGAATAGAAAGTGGACAGGAAAGTTTTTTGAAACGTTTTTGTAGTGATTTGATGCTTCACTATCGTTTTTATTAGTTGAAGGCCAAAAATTAGAAGCTCAGAGCAGCAGATCCACCTTCTTTCTCACTTTATATGGTTTTTTTTTTGGATATCAATAATCAAACAAATAGTTTTCTCCAGCTTTTTTGTAGAGGCCACTTTTATAAAAAAAATACTTTTTCCGCTAATAAGAAAGTGAAAAGATTCTTATGTTAGCACCAAATCTTTTTTCAAAATGATCATCTTCACTTTTTCTGTATTTATGATTAGCAATTAGTACTGTTGCTCATACTTACAGATACATAATTTTTGCATTTAATGAATTTGAGGTTAATTTCAGCTTCTGCAAGCTGTGTACAGACAAACGGAGGATCACAGAGAACCTGTCAATGCAACAGTGGTACCGCGTTTGTCGGTTCATCGTGTATGACGTCGTCGTATAACTGTCCGTATAACACTGTCTACATTAGTGACTCAAACTGTATGCAACTTGTAGCACTAGGTCAATCTTGCGTTTATACCTCGCAGTGTATGGGCTTTAGCGCTTGTACAGGCGGAAGATGTCAGTGCCCATATAGTTATACAAACACTAATGGAGTATGCAGACCACAAAACGCCTTGGTAAAATCGCATCTTAATTTGCCACAAAATTTAAAAAAAAAAAAAGAAAAACAGAATTTAGTCATTAAAAGTCAACACGCTCAAAATTTGATCGCTAAAAAGTGGCTAGTAAAATCAGTGACCGAAATGATCTAGCGTAAAATATGTAAAAAGATAGCTTCTTGTTGTAACATTTATAAGGCTAATTTTGGTAAGCAATCTAACGATTACCAAAGTTATGCATAAGGCATGTTTAATAAGTTTGCTGTGTCTTAGTCTTGAAACTTTATTGAACAACTGTTAGAGTAGTTATGGTTCAACTTGATTTGACTATAGGAGATATAGCAAAGTGTTCATTGTGTTTGATTTTCTATAGTGACACTAAATGATAGCTTTTTATTATTATTCTTTCGCCCTTAAAAGTATTGTATTTCAGTAAGCAGCGTATGCTTTACGTAGGAAGAAGGTTGGTATTGAATGTCTACAGTGGTTATTCATTATCAAACTAATAATTTTATACGATGATAAAACTGTAACTTATATCCTGCATGATTTAACTCTTTTTTTTCTGTCAATCATTTTCTGTCAATCTCTTTGCTTTTCTTTTTACAATTTTTTACTTTTCAGGCTACCAACTTTTTTCCTGCCGTTTCCTTTTTATTTTTATAGTACTGCAGGTTTTAGGTGATATCTGACTTCACCATTCAAAACGGTTGGAAAAAGTTGTTTAAACATATTGGTTAACTGCAGACAAGAAACAGTGATGAAAAAAACTAAAAATGTTTAGAGCTCTTGATTCTTACAGTTATATTTATATACTTTAGTGGCTGATAACTCTTTAAAGCAATTAGGAAGTAGTACTTAGTGTCAAGCACGTTTTATCTCTGTTGTATCAATATCGCTTTTTATTCAGTTTTGTATTTCTTATCACTGTTTTCAATCTTTGACAATTTCGATGATAATAGTCAAACTGACCTTTATTTCCGATACCGTTGCACGCTGTCACTTCAATAACTAAGCACCGACCTTTTATTATGACTTGTAATTAAACAATATTACTGTTTGGTTATTGACACCAAAAATTTTCAAAAAACATAAAAAGGACGCTACTTTAAGCCTTTTTAAATTTAGTACAGCACCAAAAAAAAAAGTTAAGGAAATATTGTTGTATGTTTATCAATTTCAACCTAAACAATATTTTAACCTACAAAATCTTTAGTCTCAAAATTCTGGTTGTATACAATATGATTAACAGTTTAAAAAAAAAAATGAGAAAGAAAAAATAAAGATACAGTAATTTTTGCAACCAGATATGTATAAAAAACCGTTTGAGTGAAGCTGAATTCGTAACAACATTACAATTCAAAAATGTTATTGATATGAGAATCAGCCTCTTAGAATATCCTAATTAAGTAAAATTTTCTGTTTTACACAAGAAATTTTTCCATGTAGCACAGTGGTTCTTTTCCAGCAAGTCGAAATCAATGTTTGCTACCTCAACATTTGTCATACTTCGTTGTAGTTTTGATCGTAACTGGATAAACTGAATCTGAAAAAAAAAAAACAGAAAAAGCTTATCTTGAAGAAATAAAAAGCTAAAAGAAAAAAGTTTAATTATTTGACTGGATTTTGCAGTATTTGCTTGATTAGTGTTAAACAAAAACTGGTTCGCTGTTTGTGAATCCTCTCAGTGATTTTTCAGTGATCCTACAGTGAACTATCAAAAAAAACTGGTTTCTTCTTCTTCAAAATATGATTATTTTAATTTTTAAATCTGACTAATGCAAAATTTAATTTAAGACCAACTTTAAATTATTCAAAGCGATATTTCTATGTAATCCGAAAAAACTTTTTTTTTTACATTAGTTAAGTGTTATTAACTAAAAGCTTAAATTTTCAATCTTTTCTACAAATGCAGTCACTGTGAGTATCATGACAATTTTATTAGCAGATACTTAAAGGCCTAAGAAAGATATATTTATTTAGGCTACAAAGCTGGTGTTGCAGGCAAAAAAAAAAGACATCAAGGATAAGCAGAATCATTTGTTTTGAGACGATTTTTTTTTTTTGACAGTTATTAACCCACTGTTTATCATCGTATAGCGCTTCAAACGTTTTACTACGCTTTTAGAAGACGTATTTTCTTGACAAGAATCATGCAGAAAAACTGTATCACCCGGCTCAAAAAGATATATTATACACAAAGAATTATTAAGAACCATCATAGATTTTACGTTTGATTGATCAAAGAAAAAAAAAAAAGATTTAGACGTCAAGATTCTGCTAACAAAAAAGTTTCACCTGTTACTTTCAGTTGTACATGAGAAAACTGACAAGACAGATTCAAAGGTAGCTTAGTGATAAAATACTAAATAGAAAAAAGTTTGTAGTTTGTTTTCTAGAACAGTAATAAATAATTTTGCCAGCCAGTGACGGAACTGGAAAACTGTTTAACTTTAGTTTAGCTAAATGTCAAGTAATCTTTTGCCTTTTTTAATTTTTTTTTTCAATATAGATGAACAAAATTTTTGAAGTACAGATATTGTTTGCAGGAAAAGTTATTTGTAATGATTAGCAATTTATGTTTAATTAATTTTTTTGTTTACGTTAGGCACCTATCAGCTTATAATTGATTGGTTTTAAACTTTTCGCTCACAAAATCAAAATGTATCATCAGAAACATTCTTAATCTCTCTTAATAAATTCAAGACTTTAGTTTAAAAAAAATTTAGAATTTCATTTTTTGCTCTTTTTTCTTCTACATTTTTAAAGTTTGAAATGAATAAACATACGGAATAAGGTTAAAATTTATTCACTTTGTAATTGGAATTTTTTTGTTTGCTAAAGCGCAGAAACAGTCGGTAAAACATTCAAAAGTAAATAAACTGCCGAAAAATAACAGCAAAAAAAAAAAGGATTACTAAAATTTATCGACAGCTCAGC